ATCATGTTACAGAAAGATCAGCACGTGGAATGGCCGAGTCAGAACAGCCAGCGAGCCGTAGAGGTTAGAGAGGATGCAGGGAAATAAGTTGTAGGGCACGGTGCTGTGGGGGGAAAAGGAGAAGAGAGGAGGGCAAGAGGGCGTGTGCAATGAATGAGAAAGAGCATGTCAATGAGTCGGAGAGCTGGTTGTAGGGTGGAGAGCAACACGCAATGACTCTGAGTTGACAAGAGGAAGGGAGAGGCGGGAAGGAAGGCAGAGAGAGGAGCAACACGCGGAGAAAGAGAAAGAGCAAGAACTCGACGACGTCCTGTCGTATCTCACAAGCTTGTATGTCAAGCTTACATGCTGCTGTCAAGCTTACATGCTGTCAAGTGCTTGGAGATTTGAAAGGGAGAGAGGGAGAGAGTTGTTGAGACATGCTGACTTGATGTTTCTGGAAGCGGAAAGGAGATAGGAGGGGAGGGAACAGTGCGAAACAGGAAGTGCTGAACAGTGATGGTAGGGTAGATACTACTCAGTAGAACTGTGAGCAAGGGAAGAATAAAAAAGTGAAGGAAGGAATCGTACGGCGAAAATGTCTGCGTCGCTTGAAGGATATCTCAAATGGGAACCTAGAAGTGAAGGAAGAGAGACCACCTGGCAGTGCGAAACCAGCAAGCAGTAACTCTGAGTTGAAGACACCATTGAGAATGAGAAAAACATTATTCCAGACATTTGCTGATTGAGGCAACGGGACAATCGAGAATCGAATTCAAGATCCGAAGTTAGGGGTCGGGGGGTGGCGTGTTGAATGACAATGAAGCGCACAGCATTCTGAGGGATTTGAGAGGGGGTAGGCTATACCCTAAACCCAAAACCCCCTTAAAGAAAGCGTACAGCATTCTGAGAGATTTGAGTGAGCCCATGCCTGCTGGCAGGCTGCCTGATATGGGGTTGTATGACAGGTCCCTGATTGGGTTGGGACGGGAGAGGAGGGGAAGGATGGAAGGGGGAAGGGAGAAAGGAACAGGTGCACACCAGCTGGCAGGCAGGCTGCCTGATATGGGGTTACATGACAGGTCTTGCAGGGTGTTTTTGAGAATTCTCAAAAACACCCTGAGAATTATCAAAAACACCCTGCAGGTACACACCAGCTGGCTGGCATGCTGCCTAATATGGGGTTACATGACAGATCTCTGGTTGGATAGAAATGGGAGAACCCGTTTTTGAGGGGGTGGGAGGGATGGGGAAGGAGGGGTTTGTTGGAAAGGGCAAGGGGGAAGGTGATTAGGAAGGAGGGGGAAGGTGATTAGGAAGGAGGGGGAAGGTGATTAGGAAGGAGGGGGAAGGTGATTAGGAAGGAGGGGGAAGGTGATTAGGAAGGAGGGGGAAGGTGATTAGGAAGGAGGGGGAAGGTGATTAGGAAGGAGGGGGAAGGTGATTAGGAAGGAGGGGGAAGGTGATTAGGAAGGAGGGGGAAGGTGATTAGGAAGGAGGGGGAAGGTGATTAGGAAGGAGGGGGAAGGTGATTAGGAAGGAGGGGGAAGGTGATTAGGAAGGAGGGGGAAGGTGATTAGGAAGGAGGGGGAAGGTGATTAGGAAGGAGGGGGAAGGTGATTAGGGCACACATCACTGGCACGCTGCCTGATATGACAGGTCTTTGGTTGTATGACAGGTCTTTGGTTGTATGACAGGTCTTTGGTTGTATGACAGGTCTTTGGTTGTATGACAGGTCTTTGGTTGTATGACAGGTCTTTGGTTGTGCAGGGAGAGGGCAGGCAGGAGGAGAGACAGGCTCTCTCTGTGAGTGAGGCGCCTCAACAACAGACTAATTGACATGGGGTTGTGTTGTATGACAGGTCTTCTGAAAGGGCAGATCGGATGGTTCTGATTCGACTCAAAATCCGTCCCAAAATCAAGAGATAAAGAGGTGACCTTTTGAGTCGACTCGAAAGTAAACCCGTCCCAGTCATGGAGATAAAGAGGTGACCTTTGAGTCGACTCAAAAGTACGGTCCTCCCAAAATCATGGATGGAGGCAGGCGGTTCTGGATGCAATGCAGGCAACTTATTGAGGCGCCTAAAGAAAGTCAAAAGTCGTCCCAAACATGGGAATCCGCGGTCCTGGCATGGCATTGCATACAGGGCATGAAGTTCCTTTTTAGTCGGATCAAAACACTGGCTACATCGCATCGCATACGCCTTTTTGAAGCGCCTACAAAAAGAAGTCAAAAAAGTTGCATGGAGATCGGCAGGCGGTCCTGGCGTCGCATACAGGGCAGGAGTTTCTTCAGAGAGACGATGGCGGGCCGATCCGATGGGATGGTTTTGAGTCGACTCAAAACCCATCCCAAAATCATGGAGATAGATAGGCAATTCGGGCTGCATCGCATAGAAGATGAGAAGTTCCCATACAAGGCAACGGGTTTCTTCAGAGAGACGATGGCAGATGGGATACTTTTGAGTTGACCCGAAACCCGTCCCAAGGTCATCAGAACACTGGCTGCAACGCATCGCATCGCATCGCATCGCATCACATCACATACAAGACAACGGGTTTCTTCAGAGAGCCAATGGCGGATGGGATAGTTTTGAGTCGACCCAAAGCTCGTCCCTAAACCATGGATGGAGATAGGCGGTAATGGTGGCTGCATTGCATGGCATCACATACAGGGCAACGAGTTTCTTCAGAGAGCCGATGGCGGATGGGATAGTACCCGTGATGTTGTTGGTTCCGAGGTACCTGCAGCATCACCGCATCGCATCGCATCGCATTACATCATACCGCATTGCATTGCATTGCATACAAGATGAGTGGATGCATAAGAGTGGATGCACAAGAGTGGATGCATAAGAGTGGATGCACAAGAGTGGATGCATAAGCAGCACCTCAGATCAGAGGCTTGAGATGTCTCAAAAGTCGTCTCTTCAAACAAAAACAAAGGGACCCATGTCCTCAACACAGCACAGGGGAGCTTACAGCTGCACGAGGTTAGAGAGGCCTGAGATGGCTCGAGGAACAGGCCCACTCACGACAGGGGGGAGGGGGGGGTGGTGGTGGTGTACTTACAGCTGCACGAGGTTAGAGAGGCCTGAGATGGCTCGAGGCACTAACCCGCTGATCATGTTATCCGTAAGAGACCTGCGCACTCAGAGAGGAGAGTGGGAGGGACATGAGAAGTACAAGGTCGACTGAGGAGGTCTGAGAGATAGACCAAGGGACAGGCCCGTTGGTGTTGACACTGAGAGACCTACGCTTTCAATGTCAACGTGGCATCAGCTCCTTTCAGTGCGGATGCGAGGGAGGGACGTCACAGAAGCACAAGGTTGACTGAGGAGGTCTGAGATGAACAAATAGAGGGACAGACAGGCCCGTTGGTGTTGACACTGAGAGACCTAAGCATTTAGTGCGGATGTGGCATCAGCTCCTTTCAGTGCGGATAGGAGGGAGGGACGTCAGTTGCTGTTTTTTAGTTCAGTTCAGTTCAGTTAAGTCAGCCAAATGAGTTTGGAGAGAGAGATTGACCTCTTGTGGTTACCATGTGGTTACCATGTGGTTACCAGGTGGCTTACCACGTGCATTACCATACCAGGTAGCCACCACACACCAAGGCAGGGCACACAAGCAACATACAGTTCTGTTAGCCGTTTAAGTTTGGAGATACAGCTTGCCCCACTTGTGGTTACCACATGGTTACCACATGTTACCAGGCGGCCACCGCACACAGAAGGGCTAACATGCAACGTACAGCTGAGTTAGCCGCCTGAGCCTGGAGATAGAGCTTGACCTGTTGTGGTTACGATGTGGTTACCATGTGGTCACCATGTGGTTACCACGTGGTTATCAGGTTGCCACAGCACTCCAAGGGGCACACATGCAACGTACAGCTGAGTTAGCCGCCTGAGTCCGGAGATAGAGCTTGGCAGAGTCGAGCCGAGCAGGTTAAATTCCAGATTGCTGCCGCAGCAAGGGAGGCAGGAGGAAGGGGGGGGAGTGTAGTAGACTTTTGAGTCGACTCAAAAGCCCACCACAATGGGTTAGGCAGCTTTTCGATAAGCAGAGGTATCACGGCTAGGCAATAAGGGCTGATGGAGATAGAGATTGGCAGAGTCGAGCCGAGCAGGTTGAATTCCAGATTGCTGCCGCAGCAAGGGAAGGGAAGGGGGGGGGGGGGGGGGGGGAGGGGGGGAGTGTAGTCCGCCTGAGTCTGAAGATAGAGGCCGGCAGAGTTGAGCTGAGCAAATTGAATTCGAGATTGCTGCCGCAACGGGCTTGGTTGGGGGGGAAGTGGTTTAGGAGGTAAATGATAAGCCGAGGGATGTGGGGGAAGGAGGGGAAACTGAAGGGGATGAAACAAGAAGGGTTGGTAGGGGGGGTTTTAGAGGACGTGTTTGTTTCTGGTTTGTTACCAGTAACTGGTTTGTTACTTCAAAGATGTTAAGAGCAGAACACATTGGTCAAGTAAAGAGAGTTACAGGAGCAGAACGGAGTATCAGGGGTGAAGCGAGGTGGAAATGGTTAAAAAAAAACGGGATTTACAAACTGCCATTTGTTTTTGAATGAGCTTACACTTGCAGCAGCATGGATGGCTGTGAGAGGAGAGAGGGAGCCAGAGGTTAGAAGGGGCGAGAAGAGATGCAGTGGGGTTCTACAGCAGGCATCGGGACAGCAGCTTACACTCGGCTCAGCAGTGGCGTCGCTGTGAGGGGAGACAGGGAGCCAGAGATCTGGTTGCGAGACAGGTCCCTGCGGGCGAAGGCAGAGAGGCGGGCAGAGGGGCGAGGGGCGAGGGGAGAGGGGCGAGAAGCAAGGGAAGCATATAGACTCTTTGGGCAAGTGTGTCTGTGAGGGGGGTCGGGGAGCCGGAGATCTGGTTGCGCGATAGGTCACTGCACACGCGAGGAGAAGTGGGGGGGGAGGGGAGGGGAGAGGGGCGAGGAAGCATCTAGATTGCTTTGCGCCTCGAAAGCGAGGCTGTGAGAGGGGTCAAGGAGCCGGAGATCTGGTTGCGTGACAGGTCACTGCGGGCGAAGGGAGAGAGGGAGGCAGAGGGGCGGAGGGGTAGGGGAGAAGAAAGAGGGGCGAAGGGAGAGGGGCGAAGGGAGAGGGGCGAAGGGAGAGGGGCGAGGAGGAATGCAGTGTTGTAATTGTACACTAAATACAACATTCTCTTGGATTCTATCATGCAGGATCCAACCCATGTTGGATGAAGAGCACGAGACAACATTCCGCATGTGATGAGGCGATTTTTGAGTCGACTAAAAAATCGCCTCATCACACGCGGATTGTATGTAGAGAGAATGTTTGTTGCGTGGAAAATTGGTTGTAGCCTGCAGCGGTTACTGGTGCGCGCGCGACTTCTGGAGGGGCGAGGAGGAATGCAAGAGCCAACCCATGTTGCTGCAGGGTGTTTTTGAGAATTCTCAAAAACACCCTGCAGCATCGTTGGATGAAGAGCACGAGACAACATTTTGCGTGCTATACGAGAACCTTTGAGGCGCCTAATAAGTCGTCTCCCTACCCGCCTTTTTTTTGCTTTTTGAGGCGCCTCAAAAGGCAAGGAATGCAGGAGCCAACCCATGTTGAGAGAGAGAAGACGAGACAAACTCCCCGCGCTATACGAGAGCACGAGCTTCAGACACTTGATGATGTAGCGAACAGAAATGTTTTACATGTGAGAAAATGGTTCACACAAGCAGCCTGCTCCACCATAGCACATGAGAGCTACTGCACACTTGTGACTCGTAACTGGCACGCGCGCTGTTCCCTCCGTACACGGACAAAAACAAGGACCGTTGCGGAAACGAATAAAAAATATTGATTAATTAAATAGCTAAAACACAAGCCTTTACACACAGTGTAACGAGCTTTTGAAGCCTGGAGATTCGTGCAGGGATGGACGAGGTCAGCTGGTTGGAAGCTAGCGATCTGAGAAGGGGGAAAATGGGGGGAGGGAGGGGGGGGAGTGAGGGAAGGTGGGGAAAATGGGGGGAGGGAGGTGGGGGAGAGAGGGAAGGTGGGGACAAATGGGGGGAGGGAGGTGGGGGAGTGAGGGAAGGTGGGGAAAATGGGGGGAGGGAGGTGGGGGAGTAAGGGAAGGTGAGGAAAATAGGGGGAGGGAGGTGGGGGAGTGAGGGAAGGTGGGGAAAATGGGGGGAGGGAGGTGGGGGAGTGAGGGAAGGTGGGGAAAATGGGGGGAGGGAGGTGGGGGAGTGAGGGAAGATGGGGACAAATGGGGGGAGGGAGGTGGGGGAGTGGAGGTGGGGAAGAACGGGGGGAGGGAGGTGGAAGCTTGGAGTGTTTCGCAGGAATGGAGGACGAGAGCTGGTTGGAACCGAGGGATCTGGGGAAGGGGAGAATGGGGGGAGGGGGGATGAGGAAGGGGGGATGAGGGAGGGGCGGGAAAAAGTGGAGTAGTATAGCGAGCTTCTGGAGCTTGGAGACTTTAGCGGGAATGGAGGAGGAGAGCTGGCTGGAACCGATGGATCTGAGGAAGGGAAGAATGGGGGGAGGGGGGATGGGGGAGGGGGCGGGAAGTGTGAATGGAGGAAGAGAACTGGCTTGAAAGGAACCAAGAGATCTAGGGGGTGGGAGAACGTGGGAGGGGAGGTGGGGGAGGGAGCGGGAAGAAGGCAGGGCGAAGAGGGGGGAACATTCTGTTGCACACGATAGTGATCTGGGCGGGCGGCATGCACGGGTGGAGCGGGCGGCATGCACGGGTGGAGCGGGCGGCACGCACCAGTCGAGCAGAGGCAAACGCAGAGGCAAACTCAGGGGAGCAGTAAGAAAGACGATACGGTTAAGTAAATCGTAACAAGTTAGTGCTGTGGTGTGGAAATATAGAGTGTGGGCGTACAGGTGTGTACGAGCAGTGAGTTGTGAGGCGCCTCAAAAGTAGACTCACCGTAACAGACTTAGTGCTGTGGTGTGGAGATATATGGAGAAACGAGTGAGAGGAACGTACAGGTGTGTGAGAGCAGTGAGGGCGGAGAGGAAGGCAGGAATGGGGCCGGCCAAGTTGTTGTTCATCAAGACTCTGTGCGACCAAGGCAGGGTGGAGGGCACATGGAGGGGCGGAGGGCACATGGAGGGGCGGAGGGCACATGGAGGGGCGGAGGGCACATGGAGGGGCGGAGGGCACATGGAGGGGCGGAGGGCACATGGAGGGGCGGAGGGCGCATGGAGGGGCGGAGGGCGCATGGAGGGGCGGAGGGCACATGGAGGGGCGGAGGGCGCATGGAGGGGCGGAGGGCACATGGAGGGGCGGAGGGCACATGGAGGGGCGGAGGGCACATGGAGGGGCGGAGGGCACATGGAGGGGCGGAGGGCACATGGAGGGGCGGAGGGCACATGGAGGGGCGGAGGGCACATGGAGGGGCGGAGGGCACATGGAGGGGCGGAGGGCACATAGAGGGGCGGAGGGCACATGGAGGGGCGGAGGGGCAATGGGCAAAGGAAGAGAAGACAAATAAGAGAGGAGAGGGGAGGAAGGGCGGAATGGGGCCAGCCAAGTTGTTGTTCATCAGGACTCTGCGATCAAGGAGGGGCAGAGCGCAATGGGCACGTGAGCAGACGGGGAAATGGGCGTATGGGCAAAGGGCGCGCGTGAGCAAACGGGGAATCACGCTTCAGAAAGGGAGGAGGGGCAGGTGGGCAATGGAGGGGCAGGTGGGCAATGGAGGGGCAGGTGGGCAATGGAGGGATGGAGGGGCAATGGAGGGATGGAGGGGCAATGGAGGGATGGAGGGGCAATGGAGGGTGGTAAGGCCAATGGATGGAGGAGTGGAGGGGCACTCCTCAACACACATACACACACACACACACCCACACACACACACACACACACCCACACCCGCCCACACATACCCACACATGCACACGTGCGCATGAACGCATGGAATAGTGTTATGCACACATACTGCAGGGTTGGGAACACATAGGTACGCATATTCCCCCACCCCCACACCCACCAATCCCCCAACACCCCCCTCCCCCTTCTCTCCCCCTCCATCCCCACACACACACAACGTGCACACAAATGCACGCACGCACAGAAGGAACAGTGATACCACGTACAAATGCCGCAGTCGCTTGAGTCGGGTGAAAGATGGGGGGATGGTGCCGCCAGTGGCAGCTGAGTCCATGTTACTGGGGGCAGGTGGGAGGGAGGGAGGGCAGGTGGGAGGGAGGGAGGGCAGGTGGGAGGGAGGGAGGGCAGGTGGGAGGGAGTGAGGGCGGGTGGGATGGAGGGAGAGATGGTGTGATGTAGGGAGAGGTAATTGCGTGTGAGTGTGTTTCCTTGAGACTGGAACCATGGTTGGGCATGCGATGTTACTGGGGTGTGATGGAGAGCGAGAGAGAGGAGGGATGCAAGGGAAGTCATACCTCATAGACGAGTGTGGGAAGTGAAAGGAGTGAGAAAGTAAAGGGAGGGAAGTGAAAGGAGTGAGAAAGTAAAGGGAGGGAAGTGAAAGGAGTGAGAAAGTAAATTGACGGAAGTGAAAGGAGTGAGAAAGTAAAGTGACGGAAGTAAAAGGAGTGAGAAAGTCAGTGAGGGAAGTCAAAGGAGTGACAAATTTAAGCGAGGGAAGTGGGAGGAGAGAGGAAGGGAGGAAGGTAGACTGACAGGCGGGTGAGGGGAGTGAAAGAACTGAGGGAAGGCAGACGGGTGAGGGGAGTGTAACAACTGAGGGAAGGAGAGAGGACTGACAGGCGAGTGAGGGAGGTGATAGAGCCGAGGACGGAAGGCAGGCTGGGCATGGCGCCGTTGCCCTCCATGCTCCTGGTGGGGCGGTGGCGGGATTTGGGGGGGGGAGGGGGGGGGGGGGGTTTGTCAAAAGGGGGGAAAGGGGTTGCGAAGGAGAGTGTGTGGCAGGAAGGGGGCTAGGAAGGAGGAGGGATGGTGTGGGAAGGAGGCGGGAGGATGCAGGGAAGGGGAAGGGTGGCGGGAAGGGAGGAGGGTGCAATGAGTGGATGGAGTGGAGTGGAGTGGAGTGGAGTGGAGTGGAGTGGAGCGGAGTGGAGTGGGGTGGAGTGGAGTGCAGTGGAGTGGGGTGGAGTGGGGACTACGAGTTGTGACGAGCGACTCAGTTCATTCTCCCAACAACAAAATCAAATGAACTCACATTTTTCGAAGGGCTGCAGGGTCAGGGTGACCCCTGGGATACCGAATGAACTCACACTGCACAAGCTCTCTCAGCCCTTGAATTGCTTTTGAGGCGCCTCAAAAGTCGCACACTGCACAAGCTCTCTCAGCCCTTGAATTGTTGGTCAACCAACCCTCGCAGCAACCCCTCCTCGCAGCAACCCCTCCTCACAGCAACCCCTCCTCGCAGCAACCCCTCCTCCCAGCAACCCTTCCCTCCCAGCAGTGCACGGCTCACAGTGATTCGAGGCGGGAGAGTTGGACGATGTCAGATGGAACGTCGGTCATATACGGAAGCAACCTGGTGGGGCGAGGTGGGCAGGGTGGGGCGAGGTGGGCAGGGTGGGGCGAGGTGGGCAGGGTGGGGCGAGGTGGGCAGGGTGGGTGGAGCGAGGTGGGCAGGGTGGGTGGAGCGAGGTGGGCAGGGTGGGTGGAGCGAGGTGGGCAGGGTGGGTGGAGCGAGGTGGGCAGGGTGGGGCGAGGTGGGCAGGGTGGGTGGAGCGAGGTGGGCAGGGTGGGTGGAGCGAGGTGGGCAGGGTGGGTGGAGTGAGGTGGGCAGGGTGGGTGGAGCGAGGTGGGCAGGGTGGGTGGAGCGAGGTGGGCAGGGTGGGTGGAGCGAGGTGGGCAGGGTGGGTGGAGCGAGGTGGGCAGGGTGGGTGGAGCGAGGTGGGCAGGGTGGGTGGAGCGAGGTGGGCAGGGTGGGTGGAGCGAGGTGGGCAGGGTGGGGCGAGGTGGGGGGAGGCAGGTCAGTTAGTCCAAAGGTCTTGTTAGCACAACTAGGAATTAAGGCGCACTCACACGCACACCCACACTCGCACGCACACCCCCACTCGCACGCACACCCACACTCGCACGCACACCCCCACTCGCACGCACACCCCCACTCGCACGCACACCCCCACACTCGCACGCACACACCCCCACACTCGCACGCACATAGCATCACAAAAATCCTGCGTCCAGAAAGCCGATGAAAAGAGTTGCTTTAGAGCTTTGTCGAATGATTTATAAACGTATTGTTTCTAACGCTTTTTTGAGAAAGTATAGTACGCTTTCCAAATGCTTTTCAAATGCTTCTGCAATGCTTCTCTGTTCAAAGCTGCATCTTGAATACCTTCGACTGAAGTTTAATACGAGTTTTCCCGAAGTGATTTTAGAGATTAGATCTTATTGCATTTTACTCTTTAGTGAGTTTTTATGTTGAATTCATACTGCTTATAATTGGACATTCCACAAACGTTATTAATTTTAACAATTCATGATTCTTGTGATTGGGTTCAGATTTTCCATTAGTAGAAACGCCAACATAAGGTAAGATATATCCATAACACAATGGCAGATAAAAAGAAATAGAACTCCTCTCGCCTATTGCCGGGGCTGTGCCAGGACGTCGCGCGGCCCGTACGGGAGGCGCCCGACCCGCGCGCGACTCGGGCCGCATGCGCGCGGCTCGGGCGTCCCTACCTGGCCCGTGGTGGGCCCCTTTCTCCACACCGCCTCCCCCCCCCCCCCCCCCCCCCTCCCCCCCTTTTCCCGTCGCCCGTCGCGGCTCCTTCGGGGGCCGCGAGCTGTGGGGTGACGGGTATGGTGGTGGCCGGTGTGCATTCCTCCCTTTGCTCCTCCTCCTCCTTTGTCTCCCACTGCTGCAGCTGTCGCTGAGGGGGGTGGTTGTGTGGGAGACTGGGGTTTAGGGTTTAAGGGGGGTGCGTGGGAGTGGAGCTAGCGGTGTAGCAGTGGGTGTGTATCAGGGGGGGGGGGGGGGGGGGCGCGAAGTGGGGCGGCGGGGCCGCGACGGGTCGGTGGCGGGGCCGCGACAGGTCGGTGGCGGGGCCGCGACCGGAGTTGGCTGGGCCGCGACGTGAGGCAGCAAGGCCGCGACCGGAGGTGGCGGGGCCGCGACGAGTCGGTGGCGGGGCCGCGACGAGTCGGTGGCGGGGCCGCGAGAGTGGGGCGGCGGGGCCGCGACGGGTCCCCGTCGCCCGTCGCGACGCGTCCAGAGCGGGACGCGGCGAACGCCGCGGCAGAAGCCCGCCGCGCGCCTCGGGGCGCACAGCGGGCAGAGAACCGCTGCACGCCTCGGGGCGCACGGCGGGCAGAAAACCGCCGCGCGCCTCGGGGCGCACGGCGGGCAGAAAACCGCCGCGCGCCTCGGGGCGCACGGCGGGAGGAAAAAGTAGCAGCGGAAGCGAGGTGGTAACCCACCCACAGGATCGATCCAAGGGGATCGACCTGCTCTGATACCATGACAAAGTTTGAAGAAAGAAAGAGGATTGAACTAGCAAGAATGAGGATACAAATAGCAAACCCTAGAAGGGTTGTACTCGCTATAGAGCACCCCACTACAGGCTAGAACATAAGATAATATTCTGACAAGCACCTACTGCAAATCACCAAGCAACCCTTGCAGTTCACCATAAGAGTTAGCCATGAAATTTAAACCAGTGACATGTAAATTGAATGTTTACCAGAAAAAGGAGTGGTTGAAACCGAAGATTATTAGGAAATATAAAACCGCCTGCCAGCGAAATAAACGAACAAAAACGAAAGCGTTTCATTAGCTAGCAGTTCGGATAAGCGCAAGAGTAGGAACTAGCGCTTTCTTGAAGGAAACAGCACGACCTGCACACGGGGATAACAATGAATTAAAACGCGGAGAGAGATATGCACCGCGGAGCACAAGGCCTCACCAAGTAAACGGACTCCATGATAGTAGAAACACAGCCAACGACATTCGTTAGATAACAATTCCCGCTAAAACAGAGAAGGATCTAACGTGACCTTAATCAGAAAACAGCGCGACCTGGGCTTCGACCTGCACATGTTGATCAAGAGAAATTTAAACGAGGAAAGCACACGTACCACAGAGCACACACCTACACAAAGTAAACTGAGTGCACGAGGGGAGAGACACACAGCCAATTAGGTGCACTCGTGGCAATTGCGGAAAATAACGAGCTACTGGGACGGTTGAGACTATGGCGACAGTTGAAAATACGGCAACGGTTGAGACAATGGCAACGGTTGAGACTATGGCGGCGGTTGAGATAACGAGACTGGAAAACGTGCTAAGGAAGAACTAAACTAAAATCAGTCACAGCCACTCTAGAATAACAAAATGAGACCCCACTTCACCTTTTTGGTGCAAGCGTAACGGGTAGAGTGCAGGGAGGTGGTGTGGATGGGGTTGGTTAGTTGGCACAAGTTGTGGTGGTTGGGCTGGATTTTGTTGAGGTGGATGCAATGCCGGCTTTGATTGGTTGAACAAAGTGGTATGCTGAGCTGGATTGAATGAGGCGAATTTGGTTGGTTGGAGAGATTTCTGGCCTGGTTGGGGCTGGTTGGGAAAGTGTAATTGGGGGTTGGCAAATGCGCGTTTACATTGTTAATATAAAATGTAATACGACTTTGAAGCAGATATCGTATACTCGGATATTCTATGGACGACCCGGGTTCGAATCCCGGTCCGACCGTATCTGAAATCAGCCTTGTTCTCCCTCCAGCTTGGCCTTGTTTGCATCATTGACTTTTTGCAGTGCATGTTGTCCCATGCTGCAGAGACTCTGATGTGAACATGCTCTCATATTAAATTGCATCTACGTTGATAAACCATAACCTAGCTGGATTATAATACACACTTCTTTCAACCTTACTATTGTCTCAACAATTAACATCTGACAAACATTCCATTGAAAACATTGCAAAACCATTACTAAAACATCAGCAAAGCATTTGGTCCAACAAAAATGATATACAAATGATATATAGATGATTCCAGGATGATTGTCAAACGATTTTTGAAAACTTGCTTTAAAAAAAAATGGTCAGATGATTTCCAGACGCACACATTTTTGTGATCCCCACATTCACAAGTCACATGCCATGCCGGTCACATGGATGGCCCCGCACGCCGCATGCGATCATGAGCAGGAGGAAGCTTCCCCACCCCACCCCACACACACCCGCACACAAATCCACACTCGCACGCACATCCCCACCCAACACTCGCACTCACAAGCTGGTCACATGGAGGGCCCTGCACGCCGCATGCGATCATGAGGAGGAAGCCCCCGCACTCCAGACCGTGCCCTCCTCACATCCCCACCCCACCCACACACACCCGCACACAAATCCACACTCGCACGCACATCCCCACCCAACACTCGCACTCACAAGCTGGTCACATGGAGGGCCCTGCACGCCGCATGCGATCATGAGGAGGAAGCCCCCGCACTCCAGACCGTGTCCTCCTCACATCCCCACCCCACCCACACACACCCGCACACAAATCCACGCTCGCACGCACATCCCCACCCAACACTCACACTCACAAGCCGGTCACACGGCCCTGCGCGTCGCATGAGATCACGAGCAGGAAGCCCCCGCACTCCAGATCCTCGTCACTCACTCCCGTGGTCGACGCATTCACCACCATCTGCAGCACGGACCCTGGTGTGGTGGGGAGGGGATAGGAGGGAGATTGGGAAGGAGGAGGAGTAGGCAGTGAGACAGAGAACCCCCCGCACTCCAGATCCTCGTCACTCACTCCCATCCCATGGCTGATGCATCTCACCACCATCTGCAACGCGGACCCTGGTGTGGGGGGAGGGGTGTGATGTGGGTAATATAGATGTTTTTGGGGCGCCTTATAAGAGGAATCCCCCGCAGACCAGATTCCCGCCAGTCACGTCGATGTTCGACGCATTCACCACCCTCTCCAGCGGGGATCCTGGCAGTGGGGAAGCGGAAAGGGGGGGGGGGGGGGGCATCTCAAAAAAGTCGACCTTAAGAATGGCAATTTAAAGCCATAATCGCCCTCTGTATGGCAGGTTTATGGCCCGAAACTGGCAGGCTGTATACAGGCAGGTTCGTAGGCATTTAGGGTCCGTAAATTCCCCGCCTGTGTATCGCGCGGAATGGCTGTTTACGCCAATATTCAGGTACACCTCAATGCTTGTTCATGGCTGTATATGGCATGCAAATGTCTAGAAACTGGCCCGCAGTTTATCGATTGTTAAAGGCGTGCAATAATTGCCTGCTTATTGGAGGCACAAAAATCCCTATTAATTGCCGTGCCATTATTCAAGTCTGTCATAAATGGTGTTACATTGGCCCAAACTATACTGTCATGGACAAGTTGATTATCCTTATGTAAGGAGACAGAATTTATTCGCATACCTATTCATTTACCACCCATCCAGTAAACAGTACCCGAATTAATCGTTATATTTCTCATAAAACAGTTACATTAGAAGGCACACATAGAGTCAGAACGCTACCTATCCTACAGAGCAACCTTGCGGTAGCCCTACACAAGTCCTTCAAATGCAAACTCAAATCCTTCGATGAGGATTTTCACAGCTCCACTGCCCATAACAAAACCTGCAGGAGCTTCATCAGAATAAACAGCTTCGCGTGCTTCGAGCCGGGCCTTGATCCAAGAGATGACAACAAGAACCTTTGCAGCCACGGCGGCCCTGTTATTCTCATCAGAGGCATCCAGGGAGGGGTTGGCACGGCCATTGTGGTTTGCCATAGGCCACTCCACCTGCAGGAAACCACAAAGGCATGAGTGCATATCTAATATGTATTGAAAAAATAATGACCAACAGGAAAAGAAAAACGACTTACCACATGGCAAATTGTTGCCACAGCAGGGATCTTGACGTTGAAGCGGTTGCAACGCTTGCCGCCAAGTCCTTTGCAGATGGCGAGCTCGAACGGTCGGCTGGCAAAAGGGCGGCCAGATCCGTCACAGTGCCAATTCAAACCATACACAGCTGCCAGGATTAAACGGGACGGGAGTTTTAGACTGTAGGGGTGTTGTTGCTAGTAAGCGCTACAAAAAAAAAAAAAAAAAACTCACCATCCCGAAAGTGGGCGTGCCACTCTGCAGGCGTGCGGCGACGCGATGGCGCAATGTTCTCGCTCGCAAGCATCG